TTCTGCTTCCCTGCGGCTGAAGCTGCTTCTCACTGGTCTCTGCACCCAGTTGTAGGAGTTAAACTGGTAGAGAACTAACCCTGCAAAAAAGGGGATGTTTTCCTGCCAGTCTAAATCCCTGACTTACCATCTTCACTATCAAAAGACAATGCTCATGCAAGCAAGGGATGAAAGAGTCCAGGACAAGAGACAAGGGATCTTCTTTTTCTTCCAGCAGCTGTTAGTCATTAGATGGGTTTAGATGTGTCACAAGCTGTGCCAGTGTCTTTGATAATAGAGCCTTTAAGATGGTTTTTTTTCACTGTCTGTATGTGGCTACTGTAATGATGGGGAACCTGAGCACAGAAACAGCCTGTAACTTTATTTCACTTAGTCCATGGCAATATGATTTCTTCCTCCTTGTTAATGACCAGTGTATGTGTTAATGCATGACCTGTGAAACTTTCAGGAAAGAAAAGATTCAAAAGGCCAAGCAGATAGAATCATAGAATGATAGAATCAACCGGGTTAGAAAAGAGCTCTGAAATCATCAAGTCCAATCCTTGATCCAACACCACTGCAGTTACTAGACCATTGCACTAAGTGCCACATCCAGTCTCATCTTAAAAACCTCCAGGGACAGAGAATCCACCACCTCCCTGGGGAACCCATTCCAATGTCTGATTATTCTCTCTAAAAAATTTCTTCCTAATATCCAACATAACTTCCCCTGGCACAGCTTAAGATCGTGCCCTCTTGTCCTACTGCTGGTTGCCTGGGAGAAGAGACTGACCCCCACCTGGCTACAACCTCCTTTCAGGTATTTGTAGAAAGTAGCAATGAGGTCTCCCTGAGCCTCCTCTTCTCCAGGCTAAACAGCCCCAGCTCCCTCAGCCTCTCCTCATAGGACTTGTGCTCAAGTCCCTTCACCAGCCTTGTTGCTCTTCTCTGGACCTGCTCCAGCAATATCCTTCCTGAACTGAGGGGCCCAGAACTGGACACAGTACTCCAGGCGTGATCTCACCAGCATTGAGTACAGGGGAAGAATCACTTCCCTGGACCTGCTGGCCACACTGTTCCTGATCCAGGCCAGGATGCCATTGGCCTTCTTGGCCACCTGGGCACACTGCTGACTCATGTTCAGCCTCCTGTCAATCCAAACTCCCAGGTCCCTTTCTGCCTGGCTGCTGTCCAGCCACTCTGTGACCAGCCTGCAGCTCTGCAGGGGGTTGTTGTGGTCAAAGTGCAGGACTTGGCACCTGGTCTTGTTGAACCTCATCCTGTTGGAATCAGACCATCTCTCCAGCTTGTCCAGGTCCCTCTGAAGAGCCTGACGGGTGTCAGAATTGAACATCAAGGATTAAGTGTTGAGCCTATGAAATGGTGATCATAATGAACAATGGTATTCAGAAGACTTTTCTTGATTTAATGCTAGGTTTGTATATAACACTGCACCTACACTAAATACCTTACATTCATATTTGTGAGTTGCAAAATAATAATCTTGAATACTAACTTCCCTTCTTACCCGGAGCAATCTTCCCAAAGAAATAGAGGGGTAAGGGCCATAACTTAGTGCCAGATGTGCTGTGCAAATGTGACTGAAATTTTATTTACCTGACGGAAAGAAATTTAAAGCTACCATGAAGAAACAGTTTTATGTAAAATGAGGAATAATAATTGCTTAGCTTTACTTTTTCCAGAAACATGATAATGACCACTTAAGTTTTTGGCATATGAATATCATACTGATATATGAGATAGCTATTGATGATTTTGCTACATGAAAAAAGCTTTAAAAGTGACAGGTAAATTACAGAATATATAATTAATGGGTGAGAAATGCTCGTGCCTGTTTTCCAAGTCCCACTCTCATAATACAGTGTTACATCCTCTGGAATATAATCTATGCATATGTTATATACAATCATCAGGAAAATTTTGCACATAATGATCTCTGAGTCTCTTTCTTCAGTCCTTCACAGTGACTGCAGGAAGGACAACTTGCATTAACAGGGAATGCAGGACTAAGTGTTTGCACTGGTTTTGAATAACTAATTTCTGCAGGCTTCTAGAAACGGCATTTGGTTCCTCAAAAAAATTCTGCAAAACAAGCAGCATGCTTTGAAGTCTGTGCTAGGAGAAAAAGAAACAAAACCAAAATGTGACTCTCCCAAAGTACTATCTTCCTTTTGTGGAATGGTTCAGTGGCTTGATGAGGTTAATTTGTATTAAGTTGTGGGAAATACTTTATCTGCTGTATAGAAGCTTAATTTCACGTGAATATGACAGATACTGTACTTACGGCACTGGAACTCAATGATTTGATAAGCATAAGGAGCTGAAATCCCTACATTTCCTCTCAAAGAATATTCATTGCATACTCTAGATGGTATAGAAACTAAAGAATGGTTGGCCTAGATTTTTCAGTGTTTGAAGTATCTTTGTATACTTTTCTAGGATGTTTTGGTTTTATACCCAGAAAATGTCAAAGTAGCTTTATTAAAGATTCCCCAAATACTGTCAATAGTATATGATTATTTTTTGTTCTGTTCCATTTTTCATGTAACTTTTCACTTTTTGAAATGCTTTTCTGTGTTGTACGTGAATGTAAGTGACTGTTTCATTTAATTACACTTTTTCCATAGAAGTATTACAATGCCTGATTTTCTCCTCCTAATTACTGCAAAGGAGGCTTTCAAAACTTTTGTTCCAGTATTAACATTCTCTCACAGAATTTTACAACGGCTCTTTCAGCTGGCTTCCATTCCCAGTGGCTATTGGCATACATTGTACTTCATCCTCTCTTAGCGGTTATATTATGGCATTTCTGTAGACCTAGTAGAGCAGTGTAAAGCTATACAATAAGAGAGTGAGGAGACAAAATTTCAGGGTTAGTGATACAAAGAATATAAATAAAAACTAATATAGTGAGAAATAAGTGATACGAAGTTCTCATCCTACGACTAAATTTACTTCCTTTTGTAGATTCAGTGTCTGGGTTCTTTATGTACCTTTCCTAAAATACAAAGTAGTGAATTTGTGTTAGCATGAGTGGGTATAAGATGTGTAATTGCTATCAAAATAAAAATTAGTTTGAACTTACAAAAGCAGTATGTGTTTGTTCTACTATATATTATACATTCCCAATATATCATAGAATAATTTTTTCCCTATTCACAGATAAAAAACTTCTAAGTGTTTTACTGAGGAAAAATAGTTTATTTAAATTGTTTTATTGGCATGTATACCAGTAGAATGGTTTGGAAAATAATTAAAAGTAATTTATGCAGCAGCCTGTGCTAGTAGCTGTAAAAATATTTTGCTAATCATCAATAGTATGAAAATACCACAGGTTGAAAATTTCAGACAGACAGTATGAATTGTTTTCCTTATTCTCTGTTGAATTAAAAATTATAGTTAGAAGTTGAAGAAAAGCAGTTTTTGTGCATAAAAATATTTTCTTTCCTCCTAGATTTCTGATGTAAATGTAACATTTTAGGATATCAAAATATGATGGATTGTGGGTCAATTATTTGCATCGTGTTATATCTTTTCATATGTAGCACAGCATGATGTGGTGGAGTATAATCAAACCTGACACAGTACAATGCACTGAGTGACAAGAAAGACCACAGACAGTTCATTGGAATTTGTTATACTGAAAAATGCATAACTCCCTGAATGAGATGTTTAGTAGTTTATGTTTTGTTGATGAAGACACAGAGTCTAATTGCTGTCTGTGGCTTTTGCCTCTAGGAATATTCTTGGGGTCCATAGCCTACATCAAGTTTGTTTTCCTTTCTCAGGCCTTTTAGGAGCTGACACTGTGCAATAACAACTGAGTGGATCCAGGGATCAATGTTGGGCTCCTGAAAGGCTGTTAGTAGGATTTTCTCCTCATGGAAGCTCTCATTTATTGTTTGACACTAGGGATATAAAAGGTAGCTGAAGCATTCAGTACATATGCTTTGCATAGAATGTACAAAAAGTTAAACAGAAGTAGAAATAGAGGATTTAGAGGTACTGTTAAAACACATATTGCTTTAAATAGTTTGTATTCCTCCCCATAAAAAGTTGTAGGTCAGCTAAAAGTTCATATTTCTTTCTCTCTTCCTTCTGATGGGAATGAACTATCCCCACAAGTATCTGGTCTTATATCAGTAACCACTGAAAGTTCAGATAAAATTATTTTTTCTGAAAACCATGTCCTTTGGTAACTGGCTGCTGAACCAGAAAGGGTAATTTGGCAGTTCTCCTCTTACCAAATTGGTCCTCTCATAGGACTCCAGTAGCATGATTCTGGTGATCAGTCACAGCAGATTGAATGGGAGTGATAGGTACATATATCGAATAAAGAAAATTGTCACGTTGCCTCCCTTGTTTGAAAAATTTGTTTCCCCATGTTCCCAGATTTACTTTGCAGCACCAGGTGGAAAGATTTAAAATGTGATTCCTTAGCAGATATTATTTCTGGGTTTTGTTTTAGGGCTGTCCCTGTATCCTGCCAGTTGTTCTCTGTGCACTTGTAGGAAGGTTTTGGAATACCGTATCAAAGACTATCTGTTCTGGACATAAAGCCTGGAGACATAGATTCTGAAAACATATGCATGTATGGTTATTTTAGCATTGATACACTTTCATGCCAAAGTTTCTCCCTTGGGGAAAAAGAAAAAAAATATTGGTGGAGATACACAGCTGTTTATGGAAGTTCAGAAATTAATGTAGTTTCTAGGCTAGTTTTGTGTTTCTGCTTCCCACTTCACTGGAACAGTCCTCTATCCAGCCTTGTCCAACCATTCTTCTTTAGCTAGTGTTTTCTGCCTGAGATAGTTATACTACTTTTACAAAAGAAATCAACTTTATATTCTAGTGTTAGTATCATTGTAATTCTTGTTTCATGCATGACAGATTGCTTTACAGAACAAAATTTAATGCATTTCTTATTAAAAAAACCAAAACCAAACAGTATGATGCTACCTTGCAAAGTTATCAAATTGCTCATCTTTTTATTTTCACAGCTCACCATGTTAAAACTGGGACCTGTGAAGTGGTGGCACTTCACAGATGTTGCAATAAGAACAAGATAGAAGAAAGATCACAGACGGTGAAGTGCTCCTGCTTCCCTGGGCAGGTAGCAGGTACCACTCGGGCAGCTCCTTCTTGTGTTGATGGTGCGACTATTTCTATTGCTTCCTTTCTTTTGTGTTCCTTGAAGTTTTTGCTGGCTTAACATCATCAATGAGACCCACTCCATTACGGTTACCTATTTAAAATAAGAGTAGGACAGCTTCTGCATTTTGAAGGTGATCTCCAAGGTAGAACAGAAGGAAGATGGGAAGAATTAATTATTTGCTATTGCCCTGCGGAAATGCTAAACAACATTATTAGCTGACAGTGAAAGAGACCACTTGAGGGGCTAAATTTGATCTAAGAGGACCCTTGGAGTTGTATGAAATTCACTTAATTGAAAGTATTTATGCAAAATTGACATGAGCATATAATTTTCATGTGCTACAGTCTTATATCTGATTTATATATTTATCATACAGGAAAAAAAAGCAAAGAAACAGAACGCAATTCTGCCCAGTTTTTAGTCTTTTTAGACCAACACTATTATTCCTATTCACAGTGCAATATTAATGTCTTACTTAATTGCGGTATAAGTTCATATGTTTTATTTGGGAAAATACGAGCTGATTTTTCACATTGCTTTCTCTGAAAGAGCAGCAGGATTTACCTACCCTTTACATTATCTCTTTACTGTTGATATGTTGTTGGCTGTCAGAGAAGCTGTAAATATGTCATCGCTGGGGAATAAAGTTAATCAGACTGTACTAGACTGTATAGTAGACCAGGCAAAAGAAGAGATTCTACTTATCACTTTGAAATCTGACTGAGCAAGAATAAATGAGGTTGGAATGAAATGCTGTGAAGAGGTTGCCTTTGAAGCACATAGCACCTTTTGCAAATTGAAACTTAATTTCTTATTAAGGTTCTGAGGTGGCTGAAAATCACAGACTAACTGTCAGTGAACATATTTCTAATATTTTTCTGGAAAATAAATATTGCAACATAATAATGTAATGAAGTGTCCATTTCAACAACCTGCAAATATGTTTGTTTACCTTTCTTGTAGCTTCAATCGTGGAGCAGAAATGGTGGTGCCACATGCAACCATGTCTTGAAGGGGAGGAATGTAAAGTTCTTCCAGATCGTAAGGGGTGGAGCTGTTCCTCTGGGAATAAAGTGAAAACAACTAGGGTAGGTATGATACCAACCTGACATGTTGCCATCAAGTATAAAAAAAAAAAATGGTGCACAGAAAATTGGGTGCACATTGAAGACCTGAGCTGAGAAGACTGAAGAAGCATGGGAAGAGAGTCATACTGGGATTGGACTTCCTGGTCCTGCACACTATTCTCAGCATACTTTTCGATTACCTGAACATAGTAAGCAGTGTGCCAGACCTTCTCAGGTAAGCACTGAGGATAGTAGAGTTGATCCCTTGAACTAAAAGTAATCATCAAATGTATTATAATCTAATATGTATTTCTTTCTGAAACTTGCTCAAAGTCTGTACACCTTGCTAAGCCCTTCGCTTACAGGATAGCAAACAAGTACATTTTTATCAATAACATGGAATACCATGTTTCTACATAAAAACTGCTGAGTATGGTAAGCATTTGATGTGTCATTACAGTATGATCTTTCGGTTCTTTTCATCTTGTATGACTGGGCTTTACCAAGAAATTTTGACAGAGTTTCAGTGAGTTCTTTTCCTCCATTTGACACTTATATTATTGGTTCAAAATTACATTAACAGCAATACATCTAACATCATCATATACAATGCCTGACAACAAAGTATACATGCTGTCATCTCTCCTTTTTAGTGGCTAAGAGAAATAGAAGAAAAATAAATTCTTCAGATAAGCTGTAAACACAAAAACTTCCTAAATCTACAGCATTGTATCTCAGTAGGGTCAACACAGTTCTTCATCAACATACAAAAGATCAAAATGCTCTCAGAAGACACATGTGCATGTGTTTAAGTATAAACACCTTTACCTCTACATGCCACCACACATACTTATGTCTGGGTTTTTTTTTAAGTATTTAGTACTTGTTTGCAGTGTCAGGTCATAATTTGCTAGCATGGTGTTTACTGTGTGCAAGTGTTTGAGTGTCTGTGTCACTTCACTGAAATCTTCCTTTCATAAACGCTAAATTTCTGCTATACATTGGCTGTAGTTATATGTAGTGTGCACTGATTGAATTGTATTCCTTCTGTTCCACAGAGAGCTCCATATGTCTCAGTTTCTGTATGTATAAGTCTCTAAAACATTTTGACATTCTTTGAAGGAAGGACACTTTCTAAATGTTTGTTATACAATCCCATTCCTGAATCCACTTTCAAATATGTTTCTTCTGAACATAACCTTGCTGGAATGCTGCTCACACTTAACTTTGTACAGGCCAATGCAAAACTGATTATATACATGTAAAATGTGTCTGCATGTGTAATATAACAAGAAGGAACTAGATAGAATTTAATAATAGTAATAGAAATAGAAAAAGAATTGTATGTGTTTTAAAATTTGTCAAACACTAACCATTATTAGTGTTACAGAATACATGCCATTTTATATTTATTGAGAGTGTTTAACAAGAGGTAAGTAAACATGTGGGTCTGGATTACATTTCTGCAGAAAAAAAGGATGTCACAAAAGGAGGAAAGATGAATTAGAAATGCCTTGATGCCTTAATTTTTCTCAACAATTTGTCAGAATATGGGGTTTTCTGCATTTGTTGAGGTTGTGAATTTTTGTCCATTGTTAGGAATCTACAGAAGACCAAAGCTGTTGTCCTCAAGGGCTTATGCCTCTGTTGTAGATTTGTAGGACTAGTTCTTTGAAGTAGTTGGAATTTTCTTGTCCTCCATGGTGGGGGCAATCCTCAGGATTCATTTCATACCTCTTCAAAAGGGATGCTTTGAAAAAGCCAGTCCTTTTTTTATATTTGCCATCATAAACAGTGATTCAGTATAATGGCTACCATAACCTGCTTACAGACCTAGCACCACTAAAAGGTCACCTTAAATGCCCCACTATTTGTTCTGCTTTCTGGTTTGTCCAGATATGGTATGCTGTGCCCCTTCTTCCTTCATTTTCCACATATCTGCAAGGCTGTTTTGAGACAATAGCAAACTTGAATTCAAATTTCTGATTTAAAGTTGGTCTAAGTCATTGAAACCAGGTGACAGGTGAATGAAGGTCTCTGTCTTTCCAGATACCGGGAGCTGTGATTTTAGCAAACATCTTTCTGATGGGCAGAAAAATATACATTGCTATTGGAAATGCGAGTAGTTCTTTATGTTAAGAGAGTAGCTTATTATCGAAAGGCAAGTAACTTTCCCTAATATGTAGTGACTACAATATTTTTTTAGCTCCTCTGTCTGCTCCCTGAAGTCTATATATAAATAAAAGATTCTAAAGTGCTCTGTGGTTTCAAAATCTCCTTTTTTTTCCTTTTTTTTTCTTTTATGAGAATAATAAAAATAACTCTACAGTCAGTCAGTATTAAGAAATCATGAATAATAAGTTTCTCACTGTAAAATGAAGTAAACCATATGTGATTATAAAGAAACAAAGAGAACTGAGCAGCTTGAGTGATTTAAGTGGATTACGGAGAAGCCTTGTGAAGACTTTCCTGAAAAGCCAAAAAAAGTCTATATTCACCTCCAAACATTTTCTAAGTTAGCCTCCTTCATGTGCGAAAAACCTAACCCAACTGACCGCTGAAATACTGGCTACTATTTTATGGGATACCAACTTCAAAAGCAGCACTTATATTTCCGCATCTTGAGTTGTTAATAGTTAAGCTTTATGTTAGAGATAACACTAGTGGAGGAAGAAAGTATTTTACTTGTCCACCTCTCTTAGCATATTTAATCATACATTTAATCATTGTAAAAAATGATGATACCAACTTCCTAATACTTATGATATTAGGCAAAAAGGCCAAATGAATAATGGGGGAAAACTAAGGGATTTTTAAAAATATGGTCAGCTTAAGGTCTTGCATTTTGTTCAGCTATAGTGATCTAATAAGGTCTTACATGAATAATGAATTAGAAATACCAGAATTCAGATGTTAAGAAAACTCATTTGGAAATTTTCTTCAGAATGAAAAGACAGTGGGAAAAGGCTGATGTTAAGAGTTAACCACAGAAAAGGACTGAATACAGGGAGAAAGTGTGTATGAATAAGCTGAGTACTGAGTTAACTTATGCTTGTTTAGAGTTGACTACTTTGGTCTATGTAGCCTGCAGGAAGGGACGGGAAAAAAGCCAATGACAACTTAGCTAAAGCAGAAATATTTTTGAGTTCATATTAAGAAATGTGTGTTTGTGTTGCTGAGCATTATACCACAACAAAACAGAATATTCAGAAGCATATTAGAAGAGTTATGAAATAATTATGAGTGTAGCTGAGATTTTACCAGGCGCATTTAGGCATTCTCCTCCAGACTGAGAAACTGTTGTTAGAGGAAGCAACTGAATTTTTTATGTGGCTAACTTCAATTTTTGATAAATAAACACAAAAGTTTTGTCACATTGTCTTCTTTAAATGATGAGAAAAGTGTTTCAAAAAAGGGGAAAATCCATTTTTTTTTTTTTTTACATTTGAAATACTCTTTCTTCTTCCAGTGTCTTTCTAACATAATTATCTTAATTCAAAAAGCTCTCCTGGTTGTGTTTCCTTTCTTTTCCTTCAATATAGGAAAATGTCTGCTTAAAACAAAGAAATTTTCCCATCAGTTGAAAACTACAAAATATAGCAGTCTTATGTATAAAACTGAAAATGACATTTAAAAAATGCTATGAGTTTGTGTTAAACAAAGGAGTCCTTTACAAAGACTGGATATTTTGCAGTCAGGTAAGAGCTGAGGAGAAATAATTTAATATTTCTCTTAGTTATGGGGTGTGTTGCACACCAGAGGTCTCTCTGTGGATAGGGGTTTTCTAAGGGCTGATCCAGATGCCAGACTTTACTTGTATTTTTAAGAACATTACATTGCCCATTATCTTTATCATAGAGGCAGACTTTACATATGAGCGCCAGAAGCTGCATGTAAACTGTATGAAAGTGCATGTTGCAATGCCTCCTCCAGTCCCAGTTCCCCAGGCATCCACCCTGGGACTAGCTTGGACAATATCATGGCTCCTAGGCAACCCATAAACCTATGTGTCTTTCCTGCAGAAACTAGACCACAAGAACAAGGTAAAGTGCCGTATCCCAGGTCTCATCTTGAGATCCTGGAGATGCAGCATGACTAAAGAAGTGTGTTCTTGCTCCTGGCAGTGGGAAAGTGGCTCTGGGCTGATATTTTATGAAGATGTAGAGAAATACACATTTGTATTTTTCATAAGAGAAATATAGTGTAGAATAGACTATTTCAGTTGAAAGGAACCTACAGTGATCATCTAATCCAACTACCTAACCAGTTCAGGGCTAACCAAATTAAGGCATGTCAACAGGGGCATTGTCCGAATGCCTCTTCAACAACTGACAAGCTTGGGGGATTGACCACCTCTCTAGGAAGCCTGTTCCAATGTTTGACCATCCTTTCAGTAAAGAAAAGCTTCTTTATGTTCAATCTAAACTTTCCCTGGTGCGGCTTTGAACCACTATGCAGTAATGAAATAGTACCTTGTCTTCAAGCTTTTAGCTTGATTTGGTAGAACTGCCTGTGGAATGAGGCATAGTTTTAACACTAAGCACTAAGTTCTGATTAAAATATATGGAGTGGAATTTACTGGACTTTGCTCGGGTTAGGACTCTAGAGTGAGATAACTAGCCCAAGGTCTTGACTGTCTTTTTAGTATTGAGAATTGTTTAATTCCAGAAACCAACTAATTTTGTTCTAAGATAAGTCAGATGAATTATCTTCTGGAGGTGCTTACGTCTCTCAGGTAACCTAGAAGAAAGCTACGATGACTAGATTAGCCCCTAACATTTAGATACTTAATGCTGAATAGGAAGCAGCTGGCTTAAAGAATTTACTCTCTTTGATGTGGTCCTCAGTAGGAAGATGATCATAAAAATCCCTTCATTCTTTGTCAGTTTGGGAAGCTTTGGATTTTGACCACTATCAAATGCAATATAATATTTTCAAAGTTTCAAGAATGTTCATATTCTGATGATACACAACTGTGAGCTAAACTGGTGAATCATACTATGATAAGCAATATGTCCAGT